AGACGTGATTCTCCGGAAAATAAGCCCTTTTCCAGAGGATTTCTTATTCCTACTTTCAAGTAGGAATAAAAGATCCTCCGGAAAAGGGTTTATTTTCCGGAGAATCACGTCTAGACTGAGACGTGATTCTCCGGAAAATAAGCCCTTTTCCAGAGGATTTCTTATTCCTACTTTCAAGTAGGAATAAAAGATCCTCCGGAAAAGGGTTTATTTTCCGGAGAATCACGTCTAGACTGGCGCTTTTCTCCGGCTTATCCCCAAGCCGGAAAAAAGCGGTAGCCATGTAAATGCAAATGCCGCGGGGGATATTTAAATACCCCCCGGATTTTGCTATTCCAAAGTGTCTCATTAGCATCCCTTTTCCAGAAAGGGATGCCAATGTAGATACAGCCATGCTGTAAAAGTTGCATTAACTTGGTGACTAGCAGTCCCCATATCTTGCAGTATAACCCCAACATTGCACCTTGGGACCAGAAAACTACATTCACATGATAAAATTAAGTCAGGTCAGCAATGCAATCATACGATAGCAGCATGTATTCAGCCCACCTCTTTCTCCTGGTCTTCCTGGCTGGCCAGGATTGCCGGGAAATCCAGGTCTTCCTGATGCTCCTTGTTCTCCCTGCGGCCCAGGAGATCCAGGTCGACCTGGTTCACCAGGAGGTCCAGGGATAGTTCGTGTGGAGTCAGACTGACTTGGAATCTGGTTCAGAAGTGAATTATATCTAGCCATGTGACCTGTGTGTGGGAGGGAAAGATTCCACCAAATTTAAGACAAAATGGAAAATCTGGCCCAGGGGTGTTTGAAGGGGTAGGTTGGGAAAAGGGCCACTGGAAGGGGAAGAAGTTCAGACTGTGGTCTATGATGTATGCTAGATGTGGTGATGATAAAGTGTGTCTCTATGGCTGGAGAAGTAGAGTGTGTATACTCTTAGGGTATGTCTATCCTGAAGTCAAAGTACCTTAACTCAGCTTTTGGTGCTCTCTACACTGCAGGAAGTTGAAGGAAGAATACTCTCCCTTTGATTTCCCTTACTCCTCATGAAAGCATGGTTACTGGCATCAACTGGACTGCCCCTCTTACTTCAAATTAGCTGTCTTAACTAGACCGCTAATTCAAAGCCTGGAAGATTAACAGCAGCAGCTTTGATCCTCCTCTGTAATGCAGACATACCCTTAGGTAGCCCAGAGGGCAAGCACTGTTTGGTGGCTGTGGGTACACACTCTTAGGGTTTCTAAACTACCACCCTAGTTTGAACTAGGGTGGTAGTGTAGACATACCCATAGAGTGCAGGCACTCTTCAGTGGTTTAGAAAATACTCTGTTAGAAGGTAGCTACTGTTCAGTGGCCGAGTGTACATGCTGCCAGAAGGTAGGTACTGTTTCGTGGTAAACAATATACACTCACAGAGGATAGGTACAGTTTGGTGGTATTCAGTATACACTGCTAGAGGGTAGGTACTATTTGGTGATTTAGGAAATACTCTGTTAGAAGCTACACACTGTTCAATGGCCTTGGACACATGCTGTTAGAACTGTTTGGTGGCCCAGTGGATATGCTGTTCGAGAGTAGTACCGTTTGGTGGCCTGCAGTAAACAATGCTCTTAGAAGGTAAGTACTGTTCAGTGGTGTAGGGGTTCCTGTGTTGGACAGTAGGCACTGTTCAGAGGTTAAGGAATAAGCTGTTAGAGGTGAGGTATCGTTTGGTGGTATAGGGGATATGATGTGGGAGGGTAGGTATTCAGTTGCCTAGGGAATGCTCTGTTAAGGGGAAGATATTGTCAGTTCAGTGGCTTTTAAAACACCAAAAATTTGAACATAAAGTATATTGATCTACTTACTTTGGATGATCTGTTCACACACCTGACGAGCAACTGCACGCACCATTGTCTGGGACTGAACATCACCCTGGATAACAACAAAACACAGCAGCACACTGCTCTTAGAGCACTTTTGTCTTGAATGAGCACAGAGCACCTGTGGGAGGTATGTCTTTATGGTCTCTCTATGTTGCAATTGAGGAAAATGAGGCACAAGGATTTTGTGACAAGAACGGGAAATAAAAAATTCCTGTTTCCATACAACAAACAAAAAAAGATCCTGGGATATGCTCACTGGTGCATACACATCATGTTACTTTCTTGTTAAATTTTTATTAATATTTAGAGAGAGGGATGGAGATCAGTGAAAAGGAAAAGTTTGTCGGATTAGATCTAAACTCATCCATGACTAAGAGTGAGGGAAGTGTAAATAACTAGAGTCGAGGGGTTATGGGACAAAAATCAAATTGACATTTACTTGTGGCTGTTAAATAGAGTACTTACCCGCTCACCCCTTTCTCCCTTTACACCAGGAGCACCCTGTTGAAAGATTAAACACAAAGTTAATTCTCACATTTCTCTCTAGCTCCAAGCACTTTATGTTTGCATCTCCAAATATGTGAGCATTACAGTAAAAGTAAGGAAAGTAAAAACTGAGTTTTGAAATCCTGTATAACCTGGCGAATGGCCAGCAATGTTCTCTTAAACATGCTCTTTCCTTTTCAATACTCAGTAAGTATTTCTCTTCTACGTGACCAAGTATCTGATGGTTACTTTTCCCAGCTGTTTTCTCTTTTCCCACTTATCTGTTCCTCATTTCTGGTCCCGAGTCTGGGAGGACTCATCCTTCCTAGGCCAGGTGTACACTAAGGGATAAAGTCAACCTAAGACATGTAGTTCCAACAACATGAATACTGTAGCTGGAGTCAACATACCTTAGGTTGTTCCACATTGTCCCCGCTGTAGGAGGACGATGGAAGAAACTCTCCCATCTACCTTCCTTACTCCTTGCAACTTGGTGGAATACTGGAGTCAATGGGGATGCCAGCAGCAGTCAATTTCATCATCATTTATCCTTTGGGCTCCTAATGGAGCATAGGGCCTCCGCAGTCATTCTCCATCTCTTGCGATCCTTAGCGATAGTCTTGATTTGATCCCACATTAAGTCAGCTGTTTTTTCTTCGTCCAGGAATCTTCATCGCCATGTTTGTTTGGAATGTCCCCTATTCTAACGTTTGTCTCATGATACATTCCTCACAGTTCTTATGCAGGATGTGGCCTGCCCATCACCATTTTCTCTTCTTAATCTGAACCTCCATTGGTTTCTGATTTGTTTTGGTCCCACAAGGTTTCATTTGGCACTCTATCATATCACTTTAGCTGGAGAATCTGTCTAAGGCATTTATTGAGCGTCTGAATTCTTAGTGTTGCTCTGGACAACGTGCCACACCTCCAAGCCATACAGCAGCACTGATTTCACATTAGAAATGAAAATGCGTAGTTTGCTTCTTGTTGAAATGGCTCTTGTACCCCAGATTGGTTGTAGTATGGCAAAGGCTTGTTGCGCCTTTCGTATTTTTGCACTGATGTCCTCTTCAGTTACCCCATTCTTGCTGATAACACTCCCCAAGTACACAAACTGGTCAACCTCTTGCACTGCTTCACCTTCCTCTGTTGTTAATGTGCATCAACTTGGTCTTCTCTTGACTAATCTTGAGGCCCACTCCCTCTGCTTTTTCCTGTAGGTACTCTTCTCTTGCATGTGCTCTAATTTATCTGCGAGCAGGGTTAAGTCGTCTGCAAACTCTAGATCATCAAGTTTCCTAGTTTGAGTCCACTGGAGTCCCCTTCCTGAGTCAGCATATGCTGTTTTTGTGACCCAGTGTAAGACAATCAGGAAGAGTAATGGAGAAAGAAGGCAGCCTTAGCGTACACCTGTTCTCATAGACTCATAGACTTTAAGGTCAGAAGGGACCATTATGATCATCTAGTCTGACCCCCTGCACAGTGCAGGCCACAGAATCTCGCCCACCCCTCTTAGAATAATCCTCTCACCTATGTCTCAGATATTGAAGCCTTCAAATACTTTGAAGGCCCCAACATGCAGAGAGTCCTTCAGCTGTGATCTGTGCCCAATGCTACAGAGGAAGGCGAAAAACCTCCAGGGCCTCTGCCAATCTACCCTGGAGGAAAATTCCTTCCTGACCCCAAATATGGCGATCAGCTAAACCCTGAGCATGTGGGCAAGACTCACCAGCCAGACACCCAGAAAGTTCCCTATAATGAATGGTCAATTAGTTACCAAGATCATGTTATTTCATCCAACCATCCCCTTATCATAGAATCATAGAACTGGAAGAGACCTCAGAAGGTCGTCAAGTCCAGCCCTCCGCTCTAGGCAGGACCAATCCCATCTAAATCAACCCGGCCAGGGCTTTGTCAAGCCGAGACTTAAACACCTCTAGGGATGGAGACTCCACTACTTCCCTAGGTAACCCATTCCAATGCTTCACTACCCTCCTAGTAAAATAGTTTTTCCTAATATCCAACCTGGACCTCTCCCACCACAACTTGAGACCATTGCTCCTTGTTCTGCCATCTGTCACTACTGAGAACAGCCTCTCTCCATCCTCTTTGGAACCTCCCTTCAGGAAGTTGAAGGCTGCTATCAAGTCCCCCCTCACTCTTCGCTTCTGCAGACTAAACAGACCCAAGTCCCTCAGCCTCTCCTCGTAGGTCATATGCTCCAGACCCCTAATCATTTTGGTTGCCCTCCGCTGGACCCTCTCCAATGCGTCCGCATCCTTTTTGTAGTGGGGGGCCCAGAACTGGACACAGTACTCCAGATGTGGCCTCACCAAAGCCTGGAATTGTGACCTGGAATTTTACTAGACCCACTAAATCAAATTCCAGGAGATAAATCTCCACAGTGTCGATCTCCTGGTAAGTGAAAACAAACCCCTAAATATTGAGAGCTACTGTAGCCAATAGGATAACAAAGTATTATGGAAACATAGAGGGACTTATGTTCCCTTGCTGCTAAGTTCATCTTCCTCCTCGAACTGTATTCTGTAGCCTGGGCTATCTCTGAAATAAAATGCAGGCTAACAGCAGTGGAGCTGAAATCTACTGCACGGGTAGAAATGTACCTGCTTTTGATCCTAGCCATTGTGTAGTTCAGGTGGGTGTAATTCTGTTTTTCAGCAATTTTTGACCTCTCCAGTTTGTTTTTCCAATATTGCCAAGACTTCAGGGCCTCACATGACCCTCAGACTCTACACTTTAGACAAATTTCCAGCTCATGTGCCCATACTATTGTCATTACTTCAGTTCCCGACAAGTTTTAAATCTCACTAAATCTCTTCACTGGGCACTTAATTATTATACTGGTTGAGTATGATGAAGAGAGAGTTAGTCTATGATCTTTGCTTATATTTTATCATCAGTCAATATAGTCTGATTCAGCCAAATATTCCAAATGCTTCTGTTCGTATAAATCACTGAAGCAAATGGATGTTTGAAAAAAAAAATCTAACATTATTCTACAAACAAGCCAGACGAGCAGCTGGACAATATCAGATTCAAATACTGTTTGAAACATAAGATTATGACATACATCATGATCTATGAAAAAGTATTCTTAAGCAGGCTACATAAGGAAGCAAAATGTTAAATACATAATTTATTAACTCAAAATATTTAGCTGAATAGTTACACCAAAAAAGATCAACTGAAAAACTGCAAAATTGTCACTGGTGTGGAATTTATACCATCATTTTATAGGGGGTTTTTTACTTAAAATATTTTCTTTGATGTATAAAGAATCTTGACATTTAAATGACAGAAAAATTTAGCATTAGATCCTGAGCAGAATTAAAGGCCCACTGACATCAATGGGAAAACTTTCTGTAATTGAAGCTTGCAATTACATTTTAAATGTGTACCTGATTCTGATGTCATTCACTCCCATGTAAATCAAGGAGACACTCACAGAAGTCAACAGCATTACGCTGTTTAAAACCAGTATAAATAAGATCAGAATCAGGCCATTTTGAAAAAGTGCCATCTTTGTGGAAAATGTCAAGTCTAAGAAAGCAGCACATTTTATTTTCCTTAGTGCAATTTGGAAGGGAAAGACAATTAATCAGCTACACTCAGAATATGAATTCCTGTCCTGTATGCTTTTAACCCTTAAAGACAAAGTCTTTTCTTGATACTTTCCTGCATATATTTCTGCCCAGTATTTTAAGTCGGGCCAAAAACTAAACAAAAACTAAAGTAAACCAACAGTGGGATGTTTTCTTTAGTCATTAATTGCAATGAGTGTGAAGGTTTCATGAGCAAATGGACCACTACTCTTTATAGCTCTTTGTTATGGATAATAGTGAAGATTAGAATTGAATAGCACAGCATTGCTAATATATTAGGATGTTGGCTTACTTACAGGGGGTCCAACTCCACCTTGTGGCCCAGTGTTTCCCATAACACCTGGAACACCAGGAGCACCAGGTATTCCCTATATGGAAAAAGAGAAAGCAAACAGTTATAACTGTAACATCCAACATCAATGAGTTTTTGACAAAAAAAACCTTAAACACGATTTTTTTACTGTATGGGCAGTATCCTAGCTGCAATAGTTCCACAAGGGTGCACTGGTAATTTGAAAAGTGAGACTGAATTCCCTTCTGATTTCTGAAGCCATAAGATAAAGCATTTATTTCTATTGTGTTTTCCTTTAAAACACAACCATGAAAATATAAATGAATTCCAAATTAATAATCCTTATTAAAGACCAGAAAAAAGATTAATGTACAAATTCAAAAAAATTGTGAATTAAGACTGCCAGCAGATAGCCTCCCTCTTCAATTCCCCATGAAATTGAAACAGTTTGGAGAACCCAACACTATTTGTAGAACCCACTCAATAGGCACAGGTAGGCGAATAAGAATTAAATTGTAGCTGATCTAGATGATCTTTGCACAGTGATGAATATCAATTCATGTAATGCATTAGTTAATGTCAGCATAGTGCTGCAAATAGGTAAAGAAACAGATGCTAAGCAGTACTTATTTATTTAGAACTAGAAGACTTACCCAGTGTAGCCCGGGTCTGGGACCATCCTGGGGTGGCGGGGGCTACATGGCCTGCCCACCAACTTCTCCCTAGGGTTGGCATAGTGTTGGGGGGACATGCGGCCTGTCCACCAGCTTCTCCTTGGGGGGTGGGGTGCTGCTCAGGCTGCCCAGTTGGCAGGTACCATGATGTTGACCAGCAGCTGCTCTCTTGTGGTTATACCCCTCCCTTTCCATTTGATGTAAAACAATTGTATTCCATACACATCCCATTGTCCTGGCACAACCAAACCCTGAGCTTGCTTTAAGTTATGGTAAAAGGAAGCTTCATGCCAAATTTGGTGGGCCTAACTCTTACTGTTTAGGAGGAGTTCTTGAACAAACAGACACACAGATGGACACACAGACAGACAGACAAACTCTCTAAAATATACAGTAGATTATGGAAATAGCATGAAAGGACACTATTGCTGTTATTCAGCTAGTAACATTCTTTTTTTCAATGTGGTTACATAATTTCACAAAGGAGGGCTCAATCCTATAATCCATAATCAGCCAAACCTCCCATCGACTTCAGCATCAAATCTCAACCCAGCACTTGGCCTGAGTAATCAGGGAGCTGCTGAACAAAAAAAAAAAAGAATCTGCCCCTCCCCAGACTGCTGCAAGATTATGAACCAACCATGTGGAACATATTGCAACTTAATGTTCTGGAATCGTTGAAGGATTTCCACAGCAATGGATCCTTTGGCCTTACTTCTTTCCCTGACCCACCTATGCCCCCATGCCATCCCTCCATATATAGGGTAACCATATCTGCTCTACTACCATGGCACTTCTTGTGGCTATCGCACCAGAGCACCCATATAAATCCTCAGATTAAATTTCCCAAATAGATTAGGTTCATTGCCTCTTTCCTTTTGGATTCTCATCTGATCACAATGCTACTGGCCTATGCTTATTAGCTGATTGCTGCAATAACCTGGAGAAGGACTAGTACTTTTTAGCATGCTCATGTCTTGTGAATTGGAACTAATTTTTAATAATAGTTATGCATTTTAATGAAAGGCAGGTGGGTACTTTGTATGTCTCAACATAATGGTAGCATCAATTCACAATTTCCTTCCTTTAGTTAAACTTAAAACCTTTAGTTACTTCAGATTGGTATCTTACAGGAGTGAAAAACAAAGTGGTAATGACAGTAAAAGTAGCCAAGGAATGAAGGTGGGAGGAGAAACCCAAAAGATAGCAGGTGTACTTTTACTTTCTAAATATTTTACTTTTTTGTCACTACCATGTAAATAATAGATTGTTTTATGTCCTAATTTCGGCCAGTTTTAATCTACTATATATTTGAGAGAGTTTGTCTGTCTGTCTGATGGTTCAAGAACTCCTAAATGGTAAAAGATAGAACCACCACATTCAAAATACAGCTTCCTTTTATCATAACTTAAAGCAACACAAAGGTTTGGTCATGCCAGGAAAATGGGATCTGCCTGGGATGGGATTGCTTCTCATAAAACCATACAGAAAAAAGACAGAATCACCAGACAGGTGAAAGGGGATGACTGGGAGTGCATGGGGGCAAACAAACCTCAGCCCCAAGCCTCCCAAACCCCAGTCACTTTAGGATGTGTGGGAGCGGAGGCTGAGGCCCCTGCCCCCAATTCATGCAGGAATATAGCTGGCCATTCCCCTTTGTCCAGGAGCGGGGAAAGTGAAGTTTGCTGCATTCCTTACTCTGGCTGGGGAGTGCAGGGAAAAGATGAACTGGACCTACCCCAGCTGAAGGACATGCATCCCGCCCCTGGCTGTGCCTGCTGGAGCTACAGTAGCCATGGAGAGGTGCTCTCCAAGCTGCTGCGACCAGAGATAGCTGGGGTAGTCTTCTCTCTCTGGGGAAGCCTGCATCCCCAGGCCAACCCCAGAGCAATGAAATTCAAATAGACATATATATTTTCGTTTTATTTTCCAAAAAACAAAAATTGAGTTAAGGACCTGAGCAATGCTGGGTAAATCTTCTAGTAAAATAATAAAGTAAAAGCCCTTGCACATTTCTCAGTGGTACAAGCCTTCAAATAAAGAATTCAAACCACAGATTGTGAATGCCTAAGGTGCATAGAGATTTCTATCCTATTCAGTGTTAATAGCAACAACTTTAAAGTCAGATTTTGCCAACTTTTATCACATTGTGTAGTACCTGACCCACTGATTTTATGTGCCCTTCTTGCAAAGACAGTAATACACAACATGAGTTAAGCTGGCAGAATCTGACAATTAGAGAATATTTAAAATGACCACAGAAAAATTGGCCCACAGTTCTCTACAACCCAGATACAAATCTCACTGGTAAATATGTCACTTCTAAATAAGAGGCAGATTTATAACTCACGAGACAAAATTTTCTCCTCAGATGAATGTGCACTGCGTCCACAAAAGCCAGACTCTGGCCTCTAGATTCTCTCAATTGTTTTGTGACATGTCTGAATACATTCTACAGAGCTTCAGCTGCATGACCGGGGCAATGAACTCTTGTGGCTCAGGTCAGAGAACAAATCCAGACTGGACCTTCCCACAAGAGGAGAGTCTCTGCCTCATCTCAATGCCAAGGGGTATTACTTCACCCTACACAATGCTGCTATTTTACTTACCACAAGATGGCAGTCTATTTATTGAGTGACTCAATCCCTCTTGCCATGGGGGAATCTTTATCTCTCAAGGTGATAAAGATACACTGCACCGTAGGTCGAAATAAGATATACAATTGGAGCTACGCAAACTGTGTAACTTATTTTGATGTTATTTTGAAATAGCTTATTTCAAGATTTGGCACTGTCTACACAGCACTTATTTCTAAATAAATCGCTATTCCAAAATGTCCCTTAGTCCTCGTGGGATGAGGTTTAGAGGGACATCGGAATAGCGAGCCAGTTATATTTCAAATAATGGGCACGCTCAAAAGACACAGAATAGCTATTTTGGGATACCTCCAGTATCCCAAAATAGCACTGCAGTGTAGACGTTGCCAAGGTAAGAACCCAAAGAACTGGCACAGCATGGTCAGCTCTCTGCCAAGCTCATGATTAATCAGAGTTCTAATCTGCAGTGCAATCAGCTATTTAGCCCCAGCTGGCACAGAGCAGACACCTACAATCCTGAAAAGACCCCAACATATACAGTAATGAATCCCACACATATAGTACTTACCACTGGCCCAGGAGGACCTTGGGGCCCTGTGGGTCCGTCTTTGCCAGGCAGACCCTGAGGAAGAGGAGCACATGCAAATTAATCAGTAAACTTCTTAGAAGAGTTAGACATGCCAAGATTTTGAGAAAGAAAGAAAGAAAGAAAGAAAGAAAGAAAGAAAGAAAGAAAGAAAGAAAGAAAGAAAGAAAGAAAGATTTAAGTGGGATAAAATGGGCTGGAGCTCTGCAAAGGGGTGGATTTCTATAACTAGGTGGATGAGAAAGATTGCTTAAAATTCACAAAAGAGCATTCTGAAAACACTTATTAGAGATACCTGAACTGGAGCCCAGTCCTACAACTCTTCTTCACACAGATTGTTATTCATATGACTATGCCCACTGACTTAATGATGAGTGCATTATCAGAAGGAAATTTCATTGTCCAGAAATAGTGCATAGCTTTATTAGATACCACAGAGGCCCTGATTCAGGAAGCTGTTTAATGAGATTTCATCAGGCTTACTTATGTGCATGAAATTACACATTTAAGAACCCCCCTGATTCAGAGACAAAGACTAAAATTGCCCTCCGTATTACAAAGCAAACAACTCATGACAGAAAGTGTACAAATGTAGAAGAGGAAAGGATACTTATGCATATTAAACATGTAGCACATTTTTCATTAACTTACTCTAAATCATAACCTCATCAACTGTTCTGATAATGAATACAGAACCAGTATTTAGAAAAATTTACTGATTCTGAAAGCATTTATATTTGTCCACCAAAAGGCTTCCAACCCTAACAAGTTACAATATATTGTATCCAACCTTAAAAAAATAAATCACATAACGCAGATTTTCTTCTTTCCCTTCTCTACCACTTAAATTCTGAGGATTTTAGCAATGGCTAGGTGATAAACTACTAGAAGCAATTATAAGAACTAAAGAAAAAAAGGAATGGTGATGTTACAGTGAAATAAATGCCAATCTACCTGAATCTACTTTTCAAGTCTATATAAATACTAAATAAATAATTTTAGCTAATTTTAAATCAATATTGATTTATACGAGGCCACAATTTCATCCAAAATATTGGAAGTCTGTCCAAGGGTCAGAGTGTCCATGCTACAAGTGTAAAAACTGCCACAGTTTCCTTCCCACCCTGCCAGTAAAATGGCAGGAACTAACAGTCAGCTTAGAAATGCTGTTTTTTCTTTGAGTGTAATGTTTTTAA